GCTTCTTTCCTTTGTTAGTTTCCATCCGTTGCTTTTTGTCCAGCCTTCAGGCGCTTTGGAAAATAGGTTGGCTCCCTCTTCTTTGGGGCAGCCCCTGAGATACTGGAACACTGCTATCATGTCCCCCCTCGTCCTTGTCTTTGTTAAACTAGACATATCCAATTCCAGCAGCCGTTCCTTATATGCTTTAGCCTCCAGTCCTCTGATCATCTTTGTCGCTCTTCTCTATACTCTTTCTAGAGTCTCAACATCTTTTTTACATCGTGGTGACCAAAACTGCATGCAATATTCCAAGTGTGGCCTTACCAAGGCCTTGTAAAGTGGTATTAACACTTCATGTGATCTTGATTCTATCCCTCTGTTAATGCAGCCTAGCACTGTGTTGGCTTTTTTGGCAGCTGCAGCACACGGCTGGCTCATAAAAACGTGGAGATGCTGGCGATTGAACCCGGGGCCTCATACATGCAAAGCATGAGATATGTTCTGGCAAGCTCAAAAAAGTGGAAGTTTACCAAAAGAGCAGGGTAGCGGTGACATTGGCAAATTGGATTTTCTGCCAAGCTGAATTTCTGAGACTCCTCGATCAATTAGTGCGGTCACAAGTGAGGTTTGTGCTTCCCCACAAGATTTTCTCTTACAAGGTTGTGTTATGAATTCAGTGCCTCCGATGGGATTGTCAAATCTTGCCCCGAAAAGCTATTTTCTCAGGAATCTACCCTTTGATTCCTCTCCCATCTGCAGATTGTCTACAGTTCCTTCTCTTTTCTTTCTCAGCATCCTCAAATCTCTTACTCTGCGGATGGGGCCAAAACCCCAGTTGCAAAAACTTAAGAGGCAGGAATCTGGCTGAAATAAATAATTCTGTGAAATCGCTTCGGAAAAAAGAGAAAGACGAGAGGCAAAAAAATAAAAAAGGTGGCAGGATGGTGACAATGCAGAATGATCCCATTAACAAAATGTAGACCGTCGCCAAATTAAATTAGTTTTAATAAAATAACTGCTCTGTGCAGATAGGACTGTTGGGAACAGTCCTGTAATGTTCTGAGATTCTGTTTTGTGGGAGGAGTAGGAAGGAAGGAAGGAAGGAAGGAAGGAAGGAAGGAAGGAAGGAAGGAAGGAAGGAAGGAAGGAAGGAAAGAAGGGAGGGAAGGAGGGAGGGACTGGAAGGAAGAAGGGAGGGAGAGAAGAAAGGAAGAAAGGGAGGAGGGAGGGAAGAAGGAAAGCTGGGAGGGAAGGAGGAAAGGAAGGAAGGCAAGAAGGAAGGAAGAAGGGAGGGAGAGAAAAATGGAAGGGAAGAGATAGGGAAGAAAAGAAGGAAAGGTGGGAGGGAGGGAGGGAAGGAAACAAAGGAAGGGTAGGAAGGAGAGAAGGAAGAAAGGGAGGAAGGAGGTAAGAAAAGAAGGAAAGTTGGAAGGAGGAAGAGAAGGAAGAAAAGAAGGAAGAAGGGAAGGAGGGAGAGAAAAAAGGAAGAAAGGGAAAAGAGAGGGAAGAAAAGAAGGAAAGGTGGGAGGGAGGGAAGGAAGGAAGGAAGGAAGGAAGGAAGACATTCTAGACTAGGATAGAATAGAATAATCTGAATTAGATACATTTACATGGCCAATGTAAATAAAACGAGGGGTGAGCAACGTCAGAAGGTTGCTGGAAAATACACAACATTCCCCAGGGCATCTATGAGCCCGTGACATCATGGACAATGGGATTGGAATTCCCTGCCCAAGAGACCACTGAAGACGGAATCGCGGCCTTGTACTTTTGAGTTCTCTTTAGGAAAAAAAATATCTCCCTTTGCTTTTTGCCATCGGCAATTTGCATATCCAATTGGACTGAATTGGTGACGGTAGCCAGGGGGGAGAGCCAAAAAAAAAAAAAAAAAATGCTCCAAGAGCTTGCCACATTGGTTTTCCACTCACATCACTTCAAGCCTCGCTATATAAATAAATGGATCGTGGCTTCAGCGCACCGAAGGAAGGGCAGCGCCTTTTGAGATTGCCGCAAAAAAAAAAGGAGAATTAAGCTTTCTATCGGAACATGTCTCCTTAATGTGTTGACACATCTGTTTCTTTCTTCCCCACGAACAGGTTAACGGGAAGCTCCCTCCGTGGCGCATTGTGCCATTCCCGAGATCACGATGATCAGCAAACCAATCTCATTAGAGAAAGAGTGATTGGCTGGATGATGGATTAAGATGGATCCTTGGTGGTCTCTGAACTTGTTTTCTTTCTTTTTTCTTTTTTGCAGATGTTTCATGGTCCAATCAGGGAACCTCATCAGGGCTGGAGGAAGAAGACGAGACAGAAGAGGAGGAGAGAGGGAAGAGGACTGGGTGGTCCTTGGTGGTCTCTGTTTTCTTGCAGACTTTTCGTGAGGCCACTTGGTAGCGACTAGAAGGAATCCGGCTGTTGCTAGCACTAAGGAAGTCACCTGGTTGAGTTATGAAACATTTGCAAGAAAAACAACGGAGGGAAGCTAACCAAAGAGAGAAGCAACCTGGGACTAAGGAGAAACTTCCTGACAGTGAGAACAATTAACCAGTGGAACAACCTGCCTCCAGAAGTAGTGAATGCTCCAACACCGGAAGTTTTAAGAAGAGATTAGACAACCATTTGTTTGAAATGGTTATAGGGTTTCCTGCCCTGAGCAGGGGGTTGCACTAGATGATCTCCAAGTTCTCTTCCAACTCATCATCATCATCATCATCACCATGAAAAAACCAACAGACACCACAGTCGTCATCCTCCTTCTCCTCCTCCTCTTCCTTTCTAGCACAGATGATGTTACTTAGACAGGTAATGAAACGTCTGCAAGAAAATCACCAAGCTCAGAGAGCACCAAGGACCCCAGAGTTCTCCTCCTCCTCCTCCTTCTCCTCTCCCCTTGCAAACCTCATTCCCTTCCAGCACTGATGATATTACCTAGTTGGGTACTGAAACATCAGAGAGCACCAAAGACCCCACAGTCCTCCACCTCCTGCTCCTCCTCCTATCCCCTTCTAGCACTGATGATGTTATCTAGTTGGGCAATGAAACATCTGCAAGAAAACCACCAAGCTCAGAGAGCACCAAGGACCCCATAGTTGTCCTCCTTCTCTTCTTCTTCCTTCTCCTTCCCCTGATGATGTTTCCTAGTTGGGTAATGAAACATCTGCAAGAAAACCACCAAGCTCAGAAAGCACCAAGGACCCCACAGTCGTCGTCATCGTCATCCTCCTCCTCCTCCTCCTCCTCATCCTCCTCCTCCTCCTCCTCCTTTCTAGCACAGATGATGTTACCTAGACAGGTAGTGAAACCTCTGCAAGAAAACCACCAAGCTCAGAGAGCACCAAGGGCCCCACCGTTCAATCCTGAGCTACAAAGGTTCTCTTTTATCAACGAACCAAGTGCTAAGAAAAATGTCTTCTTCCATATAGGAGTGATGAAGCAGCTGAGCCAACCTCACTGGTTTTCTGTACAATGGTTGTACAAAAGGAGTGTCTTCGGTGTTACAAAGATTAGACCATGAGATACAATCTGGAATTCAGGAGAAACTTCACAACCATGAGGACAATTAATCAGTGGAACAGCTTGCCACCGGACGTTGTGGGTGCTCCATCATTGAGGTTTTTAAGAAGAGACTGGACAGCCCTTTGTCTGGAATGGTATAGGGTCTCCTGCTGGAGAAGGGGGCTGGACTAGAAGACATCCAAGGTCCCTTCCAGCTGTATTCTGATTCTGTTACTCGTTTCAGGATCTTAAGCCAGGAAAGTTTGTTTCCTTAGTCTGTTGTCCAGCCTAGGTAGCGCGAAGAGCAACTGCGAACCAGGACCGATTTGCTGGACAGAATGGTGGACTGTTCACTGCTGGGGGGGGGGTCTTCTGCTCAGATGCTCTGAACAAGCAGAGACAAGATCAAAGCATCTCCCTTCTCCTGCAGAGACCCAAAGCATCCTTCCCCTGACCGCCTATCAAAGTAACATCAGAATGGAGAAATAGGGCTAATTATTTCTTTAAAAGCCCTAATGTACTTCGAATTTGTGATTCTTCATTAGGGGGACAAAGCAGCTGAGTTGAGCAAAGTGCCCTGTTTTTCCTGGTAATGGGGCAAATTAGGAGAGAGAGCCGGACCACAAAAAGCTCAGATACAGCATCCTTTAGTGAGGGTGCCTTTACACGTGATTGAGGTTCTATTAGAACACGGGTGTCAAACTCGCGACGTCATGTGACTTTTTTCCCCCAATGCCAGCAATGGAGTGGGGGCGGTTTTGGTGTGATGCATCTGGCCCATGGGCCGGCAGTTTGATACCCCTGCATTAGAACATGCAAGGTCCTTCTAGATGGGTTCCTGATTCTTAAGGGGAGGCAAGAAAACTGATTCTTGAAAGCTCACATTGACATTCTGCTTTCCTTCCTTCCTTCCTTCCTTCCTTCCTTCCTTCCTTCCTTCCTTCCTTCCTTCCTTCCTTCCTTCCTTCCTTCCCTCCCTCCCTTCTTGCTCCTTCCCTCCCTCCTTCCTTCCTCTTCTTCCTTCCTTCCCTCCCTCCCTTCTCTCCCTCCTTCCCCTCCCTCCCCTTCCTTTCTCCCTCCCTCCCTCCCTCCCTCCCTCTTTTCCTTCCTTTCCTTCTCATTGCCTTCCCTCCCTTCTTTCCTTCCCTCCCTCCCTCCTTCCTCTTCTTCCTTCCCTCCCTCCCTCCCTCCCTTCCTTCTCTCTCTCCTTCCCCTTCCTTTCTCCCCCTATCCTTTTCTTCCTTCCTTCCCTTCCTTCCTTTCCTCCCTCCCCTCCCTCTCCTTCCTTCCTTCCTTCCTTCCTTCCTTCCTTCCTTCCTTCCTCTCTTCTCTTCCTCTCCCTCCCTTCTTTTTCTCCCTCCCATTGCCTTCCCTCCCTTTCTCCCTTCTCCTCCCTTGCTTCCTCCTCTCCATTGTTTCACTGCAACCACGGGTCCCCTCAGCGAAGAGGTCCTTCCCATTTTGATCAACATCAAAGAGAACACCAATGCTCCGTGTGCTGAAGCCCAGGATCGCACTTACCTGCTGCGTGCATTCGCCTTGATCCGGTGACACATCACAGTGATAGTTGAATGCTTCCCACCATTACTGACCTCCTGCATCACTTCCCACTGCCGTAGGTCGCTGATTTTGGTGCTCAGGATGTTCACCCCTTTTTTCACTTTTGCCCTGTTGGAAGGAAAGTTGCAAAAAAAGAAAAATTAGATGCAGGAGAGTGATCATTCCAATGGGCACGTGTCTATCTCTACCTACTTAACTCCACTAGAGAAGGACTTTTCTTTGAACGATAATATTTGGCCTCACGGCCAAAGAGCTTTCTGTTTTTCTCTCGCGTTCCCTGGCTGTGTGAAAACTTCTTTCCCATTCCCCCAAAGAGAACCTTGTCCAAAACACACAAACGAGCCTAACAAGCCACAAAAGCTAAGACATCTCACCATGTCAAAGCCAGTTTGTTCTAGTATTTAAGCTACCAGGCTAGAAAGCGGGAGACCGTGAGTTCTAGTTTAACCTTATGCAAAAAAGCCAACTGGGAGATTTGGGGTCAATCACCAGGAGCTGGTGAGTTCTAGTTTCACCTTAGGCAAGAAAGCCAACTGGGTGACTTTGGATCAATCACCAGGAGATGGTGAGTTCTAGTTTCACCTTAGGCAAGAAAGCCAACTGGGTGACTTTGGATCAATCACCAGGAGACTGTGAGTTCTAGTTTCACCTTAGGCAAGAAAGCCAACTGGGTGACTTTGGATCAATCACCAGGAGATGGTGAGTTCTAGTTGTTGGACAAGGTTAGGAGCACAATCTAGACCCGTAGGACCAAGCAACATAAAGGGAAATGGGTGGGCGGGAAGCTGGAATAGAACAGAGAAGGCTGGTGTTGAAGCTGTGAGTTAATTAACTGCCGTATCAGACATTTACAAAAAAAAAAAAAAGAAAGTGTGGCTCCCTTTTTGTCACCAGCACAATGGCTATTTTAATAAAAGCAAAGAGAAACTGGGGCAAAGAAGCTAATCCGTAGTTATAGAAATCAGGAGTGCAAAACTCTTAATACATTGAAGGTCTTACAAAGTGCCCCAAGATTTACCTTTGAAATAAATATGGAGAGGCATAATCAGTTATGCTTGGATATCTCTCTCTCTCTCTGTCTCTCTGTCTCTCTGTCTCTCTCTCTCCCTCCTCTCTTTCTCTCTCTCCTCTCACCTCTCTCTCTCTCCTCTCTCTCCCTTTCTCTCTCCTCTCTCTCCTCTCCTCTTTCTTTTCTCCTCTCTCTCTCTCTCTCTCCCTTTCTCTCCTCTGTCTCTCCTCCCTCCATCTCTCTCCCCTCTTTCTTTTCTCCTCTCTCTCTCTCTCTCTCCCTTTCTCTCCTCTGTCTCTCCTCCCTCCATCTCTCTCCTCTCTTTCTTTTCTCCTCTCTCTCTCTCTCTCTCTCTCTCTTTCCAGATTTATATAACGTCCAACAGATGAAGACAAATTAAATCAGGAAGTTAAAGAGGTTCTCTTTTTTCTTTAACTATGGCTTTGTTGGTAGGAAAGGGTCAGTTCCCAGACATAGCAATGTTGCACTTATCCTAGCCATACTTTTTATGTGCATGGGAACAAGTAGTCTGATGCCACTATGTAGCCGGACAAGCAGAAGAACTGGTGGAGCGCATCCATGAACACCAACTAGCAGTCAGAAGAGATGATAACACCTCCCAAACCTCACAACAAATGGACAGACTCAACCCTGGTTTCCTTCTAGAGCATTCTAGATCAAGCTAAATCTGGGCTAGAGAATTCCTGAAAGCTAGGCATTCAGAAACATCAGCCATCAACAGACACAGAGAGGTACACTACATTTACAAATCATTCAAAAGAAAATAATAACAATAACACTTAGACTTCTAGACCACTTCACAGTGCTTTATAGCACTCTCTGAGTGTTTTGCAGAGTTAACATTTTGCCCCCAACAATCGGGGTCCTCATTTTACCAACCTCGGAAGGATGGAAAGCTGAGTCAGGAAGCATAAAGATCAGAACATATTCTCTCCAGCAGTCTACACCCAGATAAGCAAGGATTGACACCAGAGAAACAACCAAACAGGAAAGCATGCCCTAATCAAAGGAAAGGAAAACCATACCACCACCAAAATGGGCAAGGCAAACTGCTGTATATAAAAACAGGAAACAAAACACACTTCATACTAATGATATTTCCTAGTGGGGGTAACGAAACATCTGCAAGCAAGAAACCAAGCTCAGACAATACCAAGCACTCCATAGTCTGATTTTCTCCTCTGTAGACACACACACACACACACAAAAACACCTGCATTGGACTTGCTTAAGAATTAGATGGGAACCCACTGAGAGACACCAAGGATGCGCCATTGGGAAGTCCAATGTCATAAAGTCCACTTTGTGACAAGGAGACTGGATGGTGGATGGTGCTTTTCCTGATGCAGTGTGTTGTCCAGATGGCAGCCATATCAATCAGCTAAACAGATAACGAAATAAAGAAGAGAGGTGTTTTTTTAAAAAAAGAAAAGAAAAGGAAAAAAGAAAGAAAGAAAGAAAGAAAGAAAGAAAGAAAGAAAGAAAGAAAGAAAGAAAGAAAGAAAGAAATTGCTGCTGCAACTTTCATGGTGGCCAGGATAGGGATGAATTCATTTGCAATGCGCAGCAAGATCTGTGCACTTCAGGGTAAAGCTGCGCATGTTGCTCACAGAGTGAATGGGAATTCAAGCCCTACATTTGGTCATCAAAAGAAACCATGCACATTAAAAAGCGCAGCTGCAGAACGAAATGCTTTATTTTTAGCCCAGAATATGAGCTGGTGTTCTCTACGGTGAACAATATATAACCAATCAAAGCGCTCTCTCTCTCTCTCTCTCTCCTCTCTTTCTCTCTCCTCTCTCTCTCCTCTCACTTTTCTCTCTCTCCCCCTTTCTCTCCTCTCTCTCCTCCCTCCCTCCCTCTTTCTTTTCTCCTCTCTCTCTCTTTCTCTCTCCTCTCTCTCCCTTTCTCTCCTCCCTCCCTCCCTCTTTCTTTTCTCCTCTCTCTCTCTCTTTCTCTCCTCTCTCTCTCTCTCTCTCTCTCTCTCAGTTTCCATCCCTTGTTTCTTGTCTTGCCTCCTGGTGCTCTGAAAAATAGGTTGACCCCCTCCTCTCCTTTGTAGGAGCCCCTCAAATATTGGAAGACTGCTATCATGTCTCCCCTAGTCCTTCTTTTCACTAGACTAGGCACAAGGAGGAGTTTACAAGCACTCCAAGAAGCCGTTATTCCCAGGGAATATTCTGGTGAGACACGATGTCCGTTGGGCCACCGGGAATTGAAAGTGACTACACCACAAAGAACGATCACCTGCCTTTGGAATATCTAATGCATCCAATAAAAATGGTAAAGACGCTTGGTCTTGGCTACTATCAACAACTATTAGCTCTAAATCAAACTCCTTTCATGCAGAAGAATTTTTCCTAGTAGTGGACTTGGGTTTCTTCCGCCTTAATATCCACTACAGCCCCGTCTTTGAAAAAGCTCAATTTTTCAATCAAGCTCTGCCTTGGGGGCCAAAGGAAAAAAAAAACACACATAATAGAAACAACGAGAAGGGAGAGCCATTTCCGCACTGTATGTGGAACTCTCCGAGGAGAAAGTAAAACCGCTGCTCAAATCAAAGATGGCAGGAGATATAATGGGCCTCTCTAAGTGGTTTCTTATTGCGCTCGAGTTCTTATTACAGAATTTCCGCCCACCCCCTTCGACATTGGGGGGGGGGGAACGACTCCCAATTCTTTCCTCGCTTGCCGTTGCAAGCTCAGAAGCCAGAAGGAAAGGAAATAAGAATCTTGTACCTTCGAGGCAGCTAGGAAAATCAGAAGACCTTGTAGGAAACCCCTGGGATACGGGTAGTCCTAGGCCAGGGGTAGGCAACCTTGGCTCTTTGATGACTCGTGGACTTCAACTCCCAGAATTCTTGAGCCAGCCATGCTGAGGGGAAGGGAGAGGTTTCCAAGCTGAGCCAGGAATTCTGGGAGTTGAAGTCCATGAGTCATGAAGGGGCCAAAGTTTTCCCCATGCTGGCTCAGGAATTCTGGGAGTTGAAGTCCATGAGTCATAAAAGAGCCAAGGTTGCCTACCCCTGGACTAGGCTTACAACAACCGTCAGTGTTAGAAGGGGGTAAAGTTCCTGGAATGGAGGAAAGGGGGCAAAGAGGAGGAGAAAGAGGAATGTTGGGTCTTTGGCGATCTCTGAGCTTGGCTGTTTTCTTCCAGATATTTCATTGCCCAACTAGGTACGGTAACATTATCAGTGCTACAAGGGAGTGGGTTTGCGAGGAGGAGGAGGAGGAGGAGGAGGAGGAGGAGGAGGAGGAGGAGGAGGAGGAGGAGGAGGAGAAGAAGAAGAAGAAGAAGAAGAAGAAGAAGAAGAAGAAGAAGAAGAAGAAGAAGAAGAAGAAGAAGAAGAAGAAGAAGAATAAGAAGAAGAAGAAGAAGAAGAAGAATAAGAAGAAGAAGAAGAAGAAGAAGAAGAAGAAGAAGAAGAAGAAGAAGAAGAAGAAGAAGAAGAAGAAGAAGAAGAAGAAGAAGAAGAAGAAGAAGAAGAAGAAGAAGAAGAAGAAGAAGAAGAATTATTATTGTTGGGTCATTGGTGCTCTCTGAGCCTGATTTTTTCTTGAAGATGTTTCATGACCTATCTAGGAAACATCATCAGTGCTAGAAGGGAGTGGGGTTTGTGGAGAGGAGGTGGAGGAGGAAGAGGAGGTGGTGGACTGTGGGGTCTTTGCTACTCTCTGTGGGGTCTTTGCTGCTCTCTGAGCTTGGCTGTTTTTGTGCAGACATTTCATTACCCAACTAGGTAACATCATCACTGCTAGAATGGGGTTTGATCTCTGTTTATATCCCAACACAATGCTGCAATCAAGGACCTACAAACTTAGACAAGCACCCAAACAGTCAACAACAGCCTAATCAAGGAATCTCCAAGAACCCTCCCACCACCACCACCAACAGGACAAGCCATTTGTCTATAAACATAGAGCAGACCCCACTCACCTTCTAGCACTGATGATGTTACATAGTTGGGTAATGAAACATCTGCAAGAAATCACCCAAGCTCATAGAGTGCCAAGGACCCCATAGGTTGAAAAGGGCAGACAAATACAAAATAATTCCAGTTTAAGGTATAATTTCT